AAACTGCGGCCAATACGAGGCACTGTTCAAAGGTACTAAGCGCCACTGTTATTTCAAACTACTCTGGCAACGAATGCTGATCGGCTCCAGCGAACAACTTTAATGGTAATAACCTCATCGAATGTGATCAGAAAATCCTGCAGGAGATGGGTATCAAGAAAATCGGCGATCGTGTGCGGATATTTGTTGCCATCAAGCAGCTCAGAAACAAGTCGGTCCTCAACGGCAAGTCAAGGAACTTGGTATGTTGGATACGCCACTGATGCAAGTTAACTCGAAACTTACAATGGACAGAATCAACTGGCCACGCTGGAAGCCGTATCTTACACAAATACTTCATCGGACCCATCACGTCCCTCCAATCTCCGGCAGACTTCCACAACTCGCCGCTCGTCTCGAGCAGCCGAGACTAATGCTCTCAACTATTCCGCTAACAGGCCGTCCTCCCGGCCTGAATCGCCACTGCGTCCTCAGCAGTATGTCGCTAATAGCCCGATGGAAATGGGGCGTATGGAACAGGGGCAAAGCTACTTCAGCCATCCGTCCTCCGGTAGCTCGATGACCAGCCGGAAGCCAGGAACGCCCAGCGAACGAACTGGATCGCATTTGAGGCAAAATCCTAGTTTGGATGGCTTGACTATGGGTCAATTACCGATGAACTCGCCCGTTATCAGAGTGATCTACACAGGAGGACAAACTAAGATGCTGGACATCAAACACTGCAAGACTGCCGATGAGGTCGTTCTCTGCGTGCTGAAGAAACTACAGCTCCCGGAACACCAATACCGCAATTACTGCTTCTACGTTATGGACGGTCTGGAGCCAAATGCTGCCAACTGTAGAAGACTGACAGACCAGGAGCTCATGGAGGTGTGTGAGAGCACTCACAGGTTCGAGCGGGGTCGCCTTATTCTTCGCAAAATCCACGCTGGGGAACCCGATCCCGATGAGCTTCGTCGTGCTTCTCAGCTGGCGGTAGATGAAAGTCAATTAGCGCATATGAATGCTCTGAGCAGTTCAAATGTTCGCAACCAGCTCAAGATCCAGCAGCTGACTGGGGAGCCCTGGCATAATATCAGACAGCCCATGTCCCCCGTTTCTTCCCGACACAACCAGACACCTAGTGAACACGATATGCGACCGCCCATGAATGTGGAGCGTCAGGTGGGCAAGTTGCGGTCCTTCTTCGGTGCCCGTCCTCCAAGCGAGATGATCATCCACGAGATCACGTCCTATTTCCCTAGTCACCAGCGGGAGGAAATCGAAAAGACCATGCGCATGTCTGTTCGCAGATCTCAGCGCCTGAGCCGGGCTGCCAGCCGTTTGAGTGTCGTCAGTAATACAAGCTATGCGTCTAGCTTGAGAGATGCGCCCCCGATCCCCAGTATTGCAGATACCTGGCTCAATGCCGGGCCACAGACTGCTCGCGGTCAGCGGCCACTCTCTGTTTCCAAGTTCAACCTTCCTTCCGCTACGTACAGAGATTCAATTGCTTCCAGCTCCCTCCAGCCTCTCCAGGAAGAGTCGCCCATCGAGCCCAATCGCAAATCATATGTTTCTTTCGACAGTGGCTCGGATGACCCCACCACGTCGCGCCAGAGCCTGGTGGATGAGAACGCAAGTGTTGCTGCAACGGACGGAGGTTCACTCAATGAACGCTTGAGTATCCTCGTAGCAGAAGATGGGGAAGAGGAAGATGATGGTCTCAATGACTTCTTGGCTGGAAACAACTTTGCTCCCAAGAACTGGATGAAGGGATCCCTCATCGGTGAAGGTTCCTTCGGAAGTGTCTTCCTCGCCCTTCATGCCATTACCGGAGAGCTCATGGCTGTGAAACAAGTTGAGATCCCGTCCGCAACCAAGGGCACTGAATTTGACAAGCGAAAGAATAGCATGGTTACCGCCCTCAAGCATGAGATTGAACTTTTGCAAGGGTTCCATCACCCGAACATTGTCCAGTACCTGGGCACTGCTGCTGACGACCAGTACTTGAACATTTTCTTGGAGTACGTTCCAGGAGGGTCCATTGCTACCATGCTGAAGCAGTATAACACATTCCAAGAGCCTCTGATCAAGAACTTCGTGAGGCAAATCCTTGCGGGTCTCTCTTATCTCCACAGCCGTGATATCATTCATCGTGATATCAAGGGTGCCAACATCCTTGTTGACAATAAGGGCGGCATCAAGATCTCCGATTTCGGTATCTCTAAACGGGTAGAAGCCTCTACTCTCCTTGGTGCCAGGGCAAGTGGCGGAGGTGGCCACGCACACCGAGTCTCCATGCAGGGTAGCGTGTACTGGATGGCACCTGAAGTGGTTCAACAGACGATCCACACCAAGAAGGCTGACATTTGGAGTCTGGGCTGCCTGGTTGTCGAGATGTTCACCGGCGCACATCCCTTCCCCTCCTGCAGTCAACTACAGGCCATCTATGCCATCGGCAAAGAGAAAGCCAGACCTCCCGCTCCCGAACACGCGAGTGACGAAGCCGTAGCATTCTTGGACATGACCTTCCAAGTTGATTACGAAAAGAGACCGAGTGCCGACGAACTTCTCAGGTGCCAATTTCTGGCCAGTCCTCTTGCATGAAAATAGCATCAAACCGGGACATTTCTCACCCGGAAACAATACCTAATACATTGGCGACGAATTTCTTCCCGAATGCTTAATCGATTGATTTGTGTGGAGAGTTGAATACCCCCTGGATTCGCGTGCGTTTCTGTCTTTTCCATGTTTCCGCATCACTCATACCACATATATTATCTTGATCTGCCTTTTGCTTTCTCACTTTGCCACCCAAAAGCACAATCATATAACGGCCGGCCTCTTTCCCCCCTTACCCTACTGATTTTCTATCTTTGGCTTGTTGACAAGCCATGATGAGAGTCATTCAATTCTTGTACAGAGCTGCAATGTGCCGTGATATCTTACATATAATAAGCTTCCCTTAAAAAAGCTGCGATTGTGGGTCATTGCTGAATTTGTTCGTGCATTGCTACTCCCTGGGAGAGGGGAGGCAAATCTTTTTATTTTCAATATATCTGTAGTAGTATTTTATCTATATGTAACTGATAGACTATTTAATTTGACGATTACTCACGTCCTCGACATGCACCTTGGTATTTTCCTCAGTCCTATCTTGAGAGTCTCTTGTCATGCCATGTTACAATTCAAATTGGAATCGGAAATGTGCATTTGAAGTTTAATAATACCAAAAACAGAGCGTATTTTACATAGATGATTCTAACAACAACAGCAGCAGCAGCAGCAATAATACTAATAACACCACAGATATAGGTACTATCCTTCCATGTTAAATATTCAAGGAGGAAGATGTTTGCTCAAATCAACAGAGGTGTGAGTGAGGTGATGGTAATGGGAGAAGAAAAAGACAATGGCCGTCTATTGATTGCCAAATGTCAATTTCGTAACACATGATATGTTATGGTTTTCTTTCTTCAGTTGACAAGCTTGCCGTAGAAGGGAACACCCATGGCGCTGAGCAGAAGACGGGCGTCCTTGTCGGTGTTGGCGCTGGTGTGGATGGTGATGTGGCAACCGGGGATCATTTTGGGGGGGTACCTATTTCATTCTGATTAGATCTGATCGTACTTGGCACTGCGTGCATATGTATGTGTGCATGTAAAGCGTTGTACACTTGGCAATGCAATGGGGAAAACTTACATATCATAGTTCACCTCAATCTCCGGGAACAGAGCCATCTCCTCAGGCTCAAGACCGAAAGTGATGTTACCACTGCTGTCACCACTGCTACCCTTCACACCCTGCCAATCCTTGAGTCTGGGCATGACAACATCGACCAGCTTTCCGAAGAAATGCAGCATGTTCTCACCGCGCAGCTCGGCCTTGGCGGCAACGGTATCACGACCGGGGGCGATGTGCCACTGGGCAACGCTAGTCTTGGACTTGAAGGTCTCGACCTTGACGTTGGTCACGGCCTGCAGGGCCATACCGGCGACGTGCAGCCATGATGAGTCGTACTGGGCAGCCTGCTTGACGTAACTGTGGAGAGTGATGCGCTCGATCTTGGGGATGTTGTTGAAGGTGATCGGTTTGCGGAGGAGGCGGAGAACGTCACCGCCACGAGGGCCACGGAGAGATCGGTTCTTGTGGTACGGGGAGCTGTCATCCCATGAACGGAGACGGGGAGCCTTCGGCGGAGGCTTGAATCCCGGGGGGTTGTGGACGTAGAGGAGGGTGAGGAGGTCCGGTGCGACGGTGGATTGCCAGGTCTGTGCGACACGGGGAAGGGAGAAGGGGCCGGGGACGAAGAGTCGAGAGGAGGGATCAGAGGGCGGAGGGGGCCGGTGAGGGTGAAGAGGACCACGGTCGTATTTGGGCGAGCGGAATTGATAACTAGGTGTTTTGTGTTAGTGGTGATGGTGGATGATTGTTGGAGGGCAGTGAAGCCTAGGGTTTGGATCTTGGAGGTAACGTACCGACTCCGAGGTAGTTGCGTCTTGCGTGCTCTGGCTCTTTCGAGAGGATTGAAGGACTTCACCGTGTCCTCCGACAGAGAGGTGGATAGAGTGGTCGACTCCAGGTCATTGATAGCGGCGGACGGAGATCTCGTCGACGCTTGATCGGAGGCATTGCGACGCCAGCAGAAGGCCGGAGCCCGCGAAGAGGGCGCAAAGGCCCGTGGCAATGACCTTGCCAGGTATCTGGAGGGTTCACTGGCAGCCATTGAGGTCCACAGGGGATGGGTGTTTACTGTAGACTGGTCGGAGACTGGATTCCCAAAAATTGTTTCGCGGACCGGCGAGCATCGACTCTTTCGGGACAGCATCACGTGGTGTGTCCGGGACCTGGCCTGGTTTGTTGGTGCCTGGGGGATCTGGCAGGGAAGAAATTCAGGCAGCCATAAGGAAGGGCCCTCCACAGGCGGGGATCCACATGTGATCAACTTCGTCATCCCCGCCACCAACGAGCTTATCGTCAATGCGCTGAGATCGGCTGCGAAGGTCTTCTGATGGGCGGCTCTTTCTTCCACATCAGCAATACCCTAGTTGCCTCGAGCACACTTCCCTCTTTGCCTTTCTATCCATTGTTCTACAGCTAAGATCTTGTGCCGTTACATGTGATGTCACTGATCGCACCTGGTGCCTAGTGCCTAGTATACGTCGGGCTTTGCTAATTGGACATCGCGAGGAATCCATCGCGACAAAAAGTCAGAAGAGAGAAAAAAAGATAAATCGGGAAAAATTAATCCTGAGTGATATCACCGTCTGATATGTGTTGTGACTCCACCAGAGATCTCTTCGCGTGCTCCATCGGAATTCTGGAGCCTGAGCAAGGATTTATATAGATCCCCCACTCATCGATGCATTTCGCGCTGCCCACTTCGCACATTCGTTTGATTTTACCGTCGTCTGGTTAGGACACATGCGCTGCTGAGGATGAGTGGCATCCACAGATTTCTCACTAGACGTGAGAAGAAAAATGCCAAAGAAGAGGTATGGTGGAGTTTCGATGGGTGACGTCTGGTCATGCTAATGCGCCTCGTCATCTAGGCATCGAACCTCCTTACGCGCCCCCATTTTCGTGGGCTTTTCTCATCCGATAAAATTCCTACCGGGGATGGCAATGAAGATCAAAAGAAGGTGAATACAAATTGGGACGTGCGAATTCGCTGGTGCTGACAAGAAATAGATCAAGGTCTTAGAGCAACGTGTCGCACAGCTCGGTATTACTGGCTTACGGCCCGAACACATCAGTTATGCCCTGCAGTCGGAGCACGCCAAGGGGGATGTAGACAAGGCATTTGAGATGCTCATGATTTTTGAGGATGCGATCGAGGGGATCATAAGAGGGTATACGCCAACCACGAAGCTTCTTGGGGCGGTTAATCGTGAAGGCGTCACTTGCTACCTAGATGCACTACTCTTTGCCATGTTCGCTCGATTGGATTGCTTCGAAGCAATTCTCTACAGGTCTTTCAATGATGAGCCCCGCCGGAAATTGTCGGTACTGTTGCGACTCTGGGTCAACATGCTGCGGTCGGGAAGGCTGATTACAACGGACCTTGTGCGTATTCCTTCCGAATTTGTTCTTGTTTTTAAGCTGACTGTCTACTCGGTCGAAGACCAAGCATTTACAGGACGCCCTTGCTGAATGCGGCTGGGAAGATGCGGCCAAGCTTCGCCAACAGGATACGTCCGAAGCGTTTACTTTCATCACGGAAAAGTTGGAATTACCGCTTCTCACGCTCAAGATGGACATCTACCATACCGGAAAAGAGGATGTAACAGGCGATCATAAGTTTGTCAACGAGAGGCTTCTGGAAGTTGCGATACCTGAGCCAGCTGATGGCGAGACCGTTACACTGGAAGACTGCTTGGAGTCATACTTTAATAATAGGATTGAGGTCAAGCGGCATCTGGAGCGGCGCTACACTGTGGGCTCAACCAAATCAATGGACTCGATAGCCAAAGGCTGTACGACACATGTCGAGACCATTGAGGTTGGTTCACCCTTGTCGCCAGCTTCAAGCCAGTCACATTCTCCGCTGGACGATGTCACACCAGTGGCGTCGCTGACGGAAGTGGTCGACTCGGCCCCCCCTCCATACCGACGGAGCAGCATCGTTCAGGAGCGATTTATTCCCGGCGATGAAAATGCTCGAGACGGTACGATCAGCTCTCAAAGGAGAGGCTCCTACAGGAAGGAGGTCATGATGCCGGCGTGGCAGTTCTTCAGTCTCATACGTAAGTTTTACCTGGTATGCGCGTTAAGGAAGTGCTGACGTGAGTATAGCATGGTATACGGACAACACCCCGACAAATGACGCCCAAGTCGCCGCGCACTTTTCTTCGAAGCGACCAATCCTTGGCATGTGTCTCAAGCGCTATTCCATGACACCCACTGGAAAAGCTGTACGCCTCAACACATTCATAGACATTCCGACCGAGATAGGGTTACCCCATTTCATCCAGGATGACAGTATGGAAGAAGAAGGCCCCATCTACGGAAACTTCAAACTGTCTTTGCAAGCCATGGTCTGCCATCGAGGCACCTCAGTCGATTCGGGGCACTATATATCGATTGTTAGAGGTACCAGTGCTGGTGCGCCTCCAGCCAGTTCTCATGGTTCGGACCAGGAGGCAGGCCCTTCTGATGCCTCCAGATACTGGATGCGGTTTGATGACCTGGCGAAAGAACGAGTAACACTAGTCGACATCGAACAGGCCTTGAAGCACGAGTCACCGTACCTCTTGTTCTACCAGATCTTACCTATCAATGAAGATGCTGCGGCAGCCAATCTGTTCGACAAACCGCCTTCTTCTGAGCTATCGACGGACTCTCGAGATATGGAGAACGCCAGCATGGCGCAGAAGCCACAAAATCTGTCTGTGGACGATATCAGTGGTGCTCGCGCGGAGGGATACGCTTCAGGTCGGCCTAGTTTCGAAATCACTGGCCCCGATGGCGCAGACCCTGCCCCTATGGATCACAATAGCAGAAAGCAGAGCGTGGCGTTCTCTGAAGTGTTTGATCCGACCTCGATGCAGTCATATGCGCCGACTTCGCCGCGACTTACCCCAAGAGATGATGATGGCAGGGCTTCGTTCTCATTCTCTCGACGCAGTTCGAGGCAGACAAGGAGCAATCCAGGCAGTCGTGCAGGGAGCCAGGCCAGCGAGAGCAGAATCAGCACGACCTTCTCACGGTTTACCGGGCGACGCAGTCGAGAGAAGTTCACCAACGATGGAGTCTCTGAAGGTGAAATGGATGAGTTGACGGAGAATGAACTGGGACCGACAGAGAAATTTAGTCCTCCAAGCGTTGAGCGCAAAGACAAAAGTCCCCGACGGACCAGGGACTCCGAGCGAGTTAGAGACAAGCTGAAGGACAAATCTCGGGAGAAGATTGGACGGAAGCTCGACCGGGAGTGCGTTGTGATGTGACGGTGTAGGTGGTTATGACGATCCGAATGTTTGGATCCAACTGGGCTTCGCTTACCTTTCAATTATTTGCTATGGGCCCAGGCTGCATGTTTTGAAGGACAAGGGGATTGATACCCGGGCATGTTGCATGTTTGTGCTTTCAGCTCAGTCTTTGTCGGTTGAGGGTTTGCATCGGCGTTCAGTAGATTGCATAGCGACCTAATAGAGTAGTGATAGTTTGCAAGCATGCTTATGATGATAATCCAACTAATACGAAATTCCGAGGGTTTCGATTCTTTTCAATTGGTTAAATTCTGGGGTTAACAGTATTTACATCGAATACTACGCAAGCGGCATCTGGTATAGAAGGTGTCTGCCTCAGGCATATGTGCCAAGGTATCAATAGCTCCGCTTCGGGCGAGCTCCCCCCATCTTCATCATCGCCCATCTCCAGCTCGCCTGGCTGCTATACCTCGTCCGGGCAGCTCCACTCAAGCTTATTGTGCGGTCGAGCAATGAAATAGGACCATTATTTACAATTGGCGCATCATGGCGCTGGAGACGTCCAGCGGTTATGTTGCTCCCAGCAACCTCACCGAGCCTGCGGACGCCGGTTTGTCCATGTTCGATGTCCGACATGTGCAGTTGCAGTTTCCACTGGCTGCGGACTTTGTCGCAGCGCAGGTCGCTAATAATGTTTTGATTCTGGCTTTGTCGACGGGGCGCATCCTCCGAATAGATCTTGATACCCCGGAGGACATCGATGGTTCGTGACCTTATGACGGAGATCCTGGAGAGTTAACTACACTCCCGGTGCCAGGCTGACTCGCATTTCTTAGATATCGACCTTCCCAAAAAGTCATCGGAGATAGGCGTTATACGTCGCATGTTTCTGGACCCTTCCGCGTCCCATCTGATCATCACCACTACCCTTGGCGAGAACTACTACCTCCATACCCAATCCCGACAGCCTAAGCCACTGTCGCGACTGAAAGGTGTTCCGATAGAAAGTGTCGCATGGAACCCCTCTTTACCTACGGCTTCGACAAGAGAGATACTTTTGGGCACGACGGATGGCCAGATATGGGAGGCCTACATTGAACCATCTACCGAATTCTACCGCCGTGAAGAGAGATATGCGCAGGCCATCTACAAGACACCGGAAGGATCGCCTGTCACAGGAATTTGGGCGGAGATAATACCTACGAAGCCCGAGTTCAGACGGGTGCTAATAACGACCCATGGCAAGCTGCTGTGTTTTACAGGACGTACGGGAAGGTACGGGAGAGAAGGTGGAAGTCTCGTCTACGCTGATCTATTCCAACGCGAGGCGCCTGTAAGCCATGAGATTCAGAAGCCTTCTAGCGCGGCACCATCAGCACTGGCTATCTCGCCTATTGTTCCAGAAGGCCAGAGTGCGACTGGCCAGCCGGAGAATGAGTTCGCATGGCTCAGTTCGCAGGGTATCTATCATGGGCAACTTCCATATGCGCCGCAGAAACTCCCTCAGCCATTTGAAAGCTCAACCATGCTGCCGCGGTCTTTGTTCCCGGCCAGTGAATCTGCGCGCGGAGGCAAGAAGCTTATACAAGATCCGATAACTGCCATGACGTTGTCCCAGTGGCACATTCTAGCCCTTGTCGAAGGCAGAGTTGTTGCTGTGAACCGTATGAACGATGAGATAGTCTACGACGAAGCAGTTTTGGAACCGGGACAGAGTGCTTTGGGCCTCTTGACAGATGCGATGCAGCACACTTACTGGCTGTTTACCAGCCAGGAAATCTTCGAATTCGCAGTCGAGGACGAGGATAGAGACGTTTGGAAGGTATTCCTACAGAAGGAGATGTTTGATGAAGCTTTGCAGTATGCCCGTACTACAGCGCAAAAGGATGCTGTTTCCACCGCCTCAGGAGACTTCCTCGCCAGTAAGGGCCGTTATCTGGAGGCGGCCAAGGTCTGGGGCAAGAGCAGCAAAGGCTTCGAAGAGGTCTGTCTGACTCTGATCAACCGGGGCGAGCATGATGCGCTGCGGAAGTACCTTCTTGGCCAACTTTCTACGTATAAGAAGTCCTCGTCGATGCAACGGATCATGGTTGCCAGCTGGCTTGTCGAAGTATTCATGACGAAGTTGAACTCGCTTGATGATAACATCGCCACCAAAGCAGAATTGGCGGAGGGAACGAGCACGGAAGAAGTCAAGGACGAACTTGGCAGTGTCCGGGCTGAGTTCCAAGAGTTCGTCACCAAATATCGGTCCGACTTGGACAAGAAGACTGCGTATGATCTCATCAGTAGCCACGGACGAGAGGAGGAGTTGCTTTTCTTTGCCACAGCGGTCAATGACCACAACTATGTGCTGTCCTACTGGATCCAGAGGGAGAAGTGGTCGGAGGCGCTCAATGTTCTGCAACGACAGAGTGAACCGGATGTGTTTTACAAGTATAGCAGTGTTCTCATGACGCATGCTGCTGCTGGACTAGTCGACATCTTGATGCGGCAGACCAACCTTGAGCCGGAGAAGCTGATTCCTGCACTGTTGAACTACAACAAAACAGTAAACGTTCCCCTGGGACAGAACCAGGCGGTGCGATACCTGAACTTCATCATTGTCAACCATCCGAAGCCATCCGCGGCGGTCCACAACACCCTGATCTCTATCCACGCCTCGAGTCCCTCGTCCTCGGAAGCCGGACTCCTCACCTACCTGCAGTCACAGTCGTCATCTCCGCCACCGTACGATGCAGACTTTGCTCTGCGTCTTTGTATCCAACACCAGCGCGTGCAATCGTGCGTCCACATTTACAGCGCCATGGGACAGTATCTCCAGGCGGTGGAGCTGGCTCTGCAGCATGAAGATATCGAACTGGCAGCGATTGTTGCGGACCGACCGGAGGGCAACGACAAGCTCCGGAAGAAGCTCTGGCTTCTTGTAGCAGAGAAGAAGATCCGCCAGCCTGGGACGGGCATCAAGGACGCGATCGAGTTCCTTCGCCGATGCGAACTGCTCCGCATTGAGGATCTGATCCCGTTCTTCCCGGACTTTGTCGTCATTGACGACTTTAAGGACGAGATCTGCAGTGCGCTCGAGGATTACTCGCGGCATATCGATGCATTGCGACAAGAAATGGATAACTCGGCGCACACAGCGCGTCAGATCCGGACGGAGATTGCAGCGCTGGACACGCGATATGCAATTGTCGAACCCGGAGAGAAGTGCTGGCTCTGCTCCTTGCCCGTGCTCAGCCGGCAATTTTTCGTCTTCCCGTGCCAGCATGCCTTCCACAGCGACTGCCTAGGCAAGGAGGTGCTCGACGGGGCCGGTGGCAAGAAGAAATATATCCGCGACCTACAAGCGCAGCTAAACAAGGGGACAATGGGAGCGGCGCGACGAGAAGAGATTGTGCGGGAACTGGACGGGCTGATTGCGGAGGCCTGGTAAGTCTGCTTCATTCTATGCTTTTGTCTACATTTACTAACACTACCGACCACAGCGTTCTCTGCGGCGATCATGCCATCAAGCAGATCGACAAGCCATTTGTTGCGGACTTGAACGGGCCCGATGACTGGGCATTGTAGTTGCCTTGAGCGTGGAGAGCACGTTCCTCATCCAATGCATGCATGTCCTTTTTTTCTGTTTTACTCGGTAGCTTCTCAGCCGTTAGCTACTGACTTTCTACCTACCTACTTACCGTCTGTCGCTGTCGTACGATGGCGCCTTGCATTTATCAGCGTTCGAACGAATCATACCTCATGCTTTTCTATTTATTTCCCGGGTATATAAAGCTGCAATATCATTACCATGGACATAAGCAGAGCACCGAGCACCAATAAGCGTAGCAGTACTCCCCAACCGTACTTGTTGCGAAACCAGTAGTAGTTTCCACTACTACTACAGTAGCCCAGTCCGTCCTCGTGTTCTAGAGCCAAGTCGAGTCGAGTCGAGTCGAGTCGAGTCAAGCAGAGCAATCAAGAAACAGCTAACCAACCCCACCCCCTGTCTTCAATTCGTCTCTGCAAAAGCACCGACACACGGACACACGGACACACACACAGACACACCTTGCTGATCCCCTTTTTCTCCAGTGTGTGTGACTGCTCGTGTGGGTGTGGGTGTGTGGGTGTGTGCTTGCTCGGCGTATCGCCTGCCCAGCTAGCTGCATCCGACAGGGCTGTGCGGGTGCAGCTTGCAGCACACTCTGCATATTAGCCAGCCAGTAGATGGATATCTTGCAACCTACAAATTTCCACTTTTTTCTTTGATTCCTGCACCTGCAGTGCGTTTCGTGACGAGTTCTGTGCTGCGCTGCGCTGGTGGAAGTAGAAGTGGAGGTGGTCGTGCATGATGGTGGTGGTGGTGAGTGTGGTGAGTATTGCTACATCCAAGCGCCGGGGAGGGAGGATCCTTGTTATTTGCTTGGTTTGTGTATAGATGGGACTTGGGATATATTTTTGGGTTATGGGTACTAAGTAGATTAAGTAGATATGTTGGTTCAACTTTGGGTTATAGTAAATATTATTAGTAGCATGTATATCTATATATAAACAGAAAGATGAGTAGGAAATATATTTAGATACGATAAGTACTACATAGCGAAGAAATCCATAAGTAATAGCATAGCATAGCATAGCATATTGCATAGTAACACCCCAGTAGTATTTGTATTTAAACACTGGTAAGTAAGTAGTAGGTAGGTGGGTAGGTAGCACTACATCAATATGCTTACTTGGTAGTTATGCACAGGTACATAGTAGTATACCTACCACCACATACATCACCACATACATATCCAAGTACTACGAAGTAGTATCCTGGAGTACATGCATATCCTCATGTTGTGTCCCGTGATAGTACATATGATCCATCTGTAGTATGTACGATAACTCACATACATACATACGTACTACATATGGTGCATGTCTTGCTCTACTCGTCCTGTCTGGTCTGATCCATCTCATTGTCTGAGACAGAAACGGAAGGGATAAAGGAGGGGTGTGCAGCAAGCAAGCAAGCACCCCATACTCCATACATGATGAGTCTTGTGCGGGATTATCTTGCATGTTCGTGTTCATGTCCTTCTTTCTTGGATTGAGTGTGTGTGGGATGTGGGATGTGGATTCTGGGGTAGTTGTTGAGAATGGGTGAAACAGAAACAGAAAGAGAAACAGAACCAGACTGGGATTTGAAATATCAGTTAGGGTAACTAACTACTTACTATCACTCATACTGACAAGCTATTAGTAGGTGGAGTTAATTACCCCAGACATAACAACTAGATGATTATCAATTAGTCACTACATAGTTAGTCTTTGTGTCATTTCTTATCCAAGTAACCCACTAGAAGAAACCACAACCACTCTGTAACCAAGTCCTCAAAAATGAGTCTCTCGGTTCCTCTCTTCCGTCCGTTTCTCAACGGCGATCCCACTCCACATCCCCATCCCCCATCCCCAGTTCTGCCTGCGGTTGTTGGTTCCGGGTGAGAAGCAAGGAGTTTCGTCCAGTTTTCGTCCTTCCTTCCTCCCCGAACTTTATCCCGAGTTGCAGTAAGTAGGTAGGTAGGTAGGTAGGTCTTGAATCTGGGGAAATCTCATACACACATACACACATACATTCCATACCATTCCAGTTTCAGACGGTTCTTTCTTTCTATCTATAACTACCTAACTACTATACTAACTAACTAGTTACTCTAGTTACTCTAGTAAAGAGTTAATCAATAACTCACACCTTAAGACAAGATAATATCCATCCAATCCCAATCCCTCTCTAACCGCGGAACTGCCACCTTAAATCCCTATTAGTGGGATCTCACAAATCACTATTTTGCTTTTTTCTCCCTTTTCTGTTAGGTGGATGATGGATGGATGGATGGATGGATGGATGGATATGAACGGCAACTGATAGCGACGTGACAGAAAAAGTATAATTAAGTGGCTGGACCTAGTTAATAGATAGTAATGGTAGTTTGATTGCGAATTGGACTTGTCCTGTGGCACATTGTGTTGATCGTGCGGGGTAAAGGTGCCACTAACTAGTAAGTAGCTTTTGACTATCTGTTTATCCTATCTGTTTATCGGTTTTTATTTATTTGTCTGTCTGGGAAGGTTGGGATAGGTTGGTGGCGATGATCGAATCATTTCCCTATAAGGGTTTTCTGTGTCGCGTGCTCAATTCATGGATTATGCTGTGTTCATTGCTGGTTGGGGCTGGGATTGGGATTGGGGTAGTTGGGGTTTGATGATTTGATTGATCGGATGCCAGTGGGTTATCTGCCGATAGGAGTGATACGGGGTAAAGTATTTACTTGGTACTCCGTATGGAGTACTACTACTGGCGGATATATGGATATATGGATGTATACTATGGATCTTGTAATCTATCTGGTGGAGATGAGATATGTCCGTTTGGGGATGATTGGTCTCATTATAGTTACTTGGAGTTGTCTATGGTTGTTTTGTTCGAGATTGTGTCTGTATCTGTAGCTGGCTGTCTGTCTGTATTGTATACTACTCTAGTGATTAACCGAACTAAAGCATAGTGATGGAGATAGATAACTGTTCTGCAAATGTCGAGACCATCACCTCCAATGGTGCAACATCTCCATCCCAAATCCTGGTACTAGATAACCTTTTCCAACCTTCCTCTGCCCCCTAACTGGCTCCCTCTCTCAGGTTCCACCGATACACCACACCCGCCCAGAACAAGCGACGATAGGGTGTTCCAGCCATTACAGCACCGCCCCGTGTTCCATTCGGCAGATAATCATCCCGATAAGGGGGATAAGAAGAAGCAGACAGTATCTAAGGTTCAGCACCCGGGGTTTCCATGAACCTAGTCATTGTTGAGACGGAAGTTTGGCAAAGTTCCAGGCAGTCAGGATTATCCAGTTCATCCACTGGGTCACGCTATCCCGGTTCCATGGGAGAGATGAATGTTAGCGGGAAACCTTGGGAATGGCGTGAGAGATAGGCAGAGAGACAGAGAGAGGGAGATAGCCAGGTGACCTGGATCACCTGAGAGGCTAAAAGTAAATACTTTGTACAGTAAGTATGGGCCTGAGACTGGGGCTGGGCTGGGATTTGGTCATTCGGGATTCCTGGGGCAGAGATGGAACCAGATGGAATCTCATGGAAGATTTTATCTATTGCTCTCATACGAAAGTGTGTCAGCCACCATCAGAGATCCAAAGGAACCGAGAAGGATGGATGATGAGGTGGTGGTGATGATGGTGGTGGTGTGGTGGTGGTGGTAAGGCCAGGCCGCTGCTTATCGCGTGATGCGTGCAAAAACAGCCACCTGGCAGAATGAATAGCGGGAAACCTAATGGGAAGGAATTCCTTAGTCAGAAGGGACACCCATCCGTCCATCCATCCACGTATGCCTGAGGTCTGTTTTTTTGTTGTACTCTTTCTTTGAGGGTGACCACCTCATCATCGTCCCTTGGCTGCCTCCTGCTAGCTGCCCATCGGCGTGTCGGAGACAGGCAAGCCTGCATGATCGAGACACGCAACTCTTTGCCAGCTGCAAGGACAAAAACCTTCCCGACACTCGCTCGGGAGGCGGTCAGCCAGGCACTAATGCACCTTGGTCCTTCACCGCCAGCATCGCTTTCTTGTTGCTCATGCAGCCCCGGAAAGATACTTGCCAGCCACGGGGCGCTGCCAGTGCTTTTTGTTGTTGGCTGTTATGGAGGAGTTAAGACTCATGTTATGTTTATTGATTTTGATTATAGTTTATGTGTTCATTTAATTTGACTTTGTATTTTTCTTTTACTCAATTTCATCATTTAGTCTCCGACCATGTACCTCCGTTTTATGTATGTAGGAAGAGGGATATTTCCATCCAGTCACCTCGTTCCAGTTGTACACAACCTTATCCACTACTTACTACTTACTACTACATAGTAAGTAATAGTAATAGTAAAAGTACCATAACGGAGGATAACAATTATTATCTTGCCGACAGTACAACCCGAAACGAACCATTAGCAAATTAGCATACTCTGCTACATACCTCCTGTCATATGTTCCCTCCATATACTCCATACTTTCAAAGCCGAGAAGAGGAAAAACAAATAACCAGTCTCCACCCCGATCGATAGTACGATACGATTGCCAGATCAAAAGTTGGCCCAGGAGTCTGTCTGTCTGTCTGTCTGTCTGTCTGAGACGTAATCTCCCTGCCTTCCCGTTTTAACCCCGCAAATCCTGTTACAGATGATGGGCCGAGTTGAAGGAAATCCCGCGCGGTAAACAGGATCAACGTGGATCACGCAGGTTTTGTAGCAACAACAATAGACGTTGTTGATTGATTGATTTTAACATGGTGTATGGTTTCCCTGGGTTATCTGGCTGGCCTGGACCGAACCACACACACACACACACACACACACTCTCTCTCTCTCTCCCTGACTCAATTTCCTTTTTTCTTCTTACTTTGAACCTTAGGTACTAATCCTTTGGGGAGAAAAAAAAAGGTACCTGATGCGGTGCTGAACTTTTAGGTACTTATCCTTACTCAGATTGTTAATGTTAGGTACTTACTCTGTTGGTTTACTACCTCGTCGGGTAGATATGATTTTTTACTTTCTTACATACTTTTTTCTCCGCATGGGCAAGTCAGAAAAATAGAGGAAATTATCCAGTCATATCATTATCTCTCGTATGATCGGTGATACCTGAGTATCGTCAGTACTAGACTAGTAGTAAGTAGCAGAATCTACTGCCACCTCTCGGAACCTAGGCATTAGTCTCCTCTGATGATCGGCGCGCAGCAATATCCGTATCTACCGACAACAGCTTCTTCCCCATACTACTCCCTACTAGTCTATTAGTCCACTGTGTCACAAGTTAGTTAACTCAACGAATAGTCCGGGATCATCCTCCCGGGCCTTTTTTCAGAACAGCCGACCCAAACGAATGGTCAATTATTGGCCACGACTTCGCGCCAGTCGTTGCTTGCTTGGGGCTGGCGTCATGCAGCCTGGAAATAGTGGCCACTGGGGGATTCTGTCTGATTGGTTCCTGAGGGATCCACTGTAGCGTCACTCAGACTGTTGTGGCCGCCCGCCAGGCCAACTCCAGGCACCACCCCGGATAGGGACTGGACCCGTAGTAACTTAGTATAGTAGTAGGTATGGATCCGTATTTGTTACTTTACTTAGTAATCATGCTGGACGCAACTCTTGATTGGATTTGTTCCCGCCGCCGGCCGAGGACGGGAGAGTCAGTGGAAATGATTAGTATGCTCTGAAAATGGAAACATGAGAGCGATACGTAGTCTAGGTGCAATCATCGCGTGTTCAAGTGTCTCCATCGTCACCGGTTCCTCTGGTGGGGTGGTGGTTTAACCACCCCGTTTACTGTTAGATGGTGGATGGATGGGTTTAGGATCGATCTGATCTGGTCTGGTTGGGGACAGAAGAGGGGAAATGAGAGCGGGCCATTCGGTGATCATTACCTTAGCTCTGGGGGGATGATGAAGACGATGGCTATGATGGTGATGATGATGTTGGGTATTACGAAAACCGCCGCCCCCTTGACTGACTGGTCTCAACGGAAATAGTTATACCTCGGATGCATTATTCCGTCATTGTCAATGTTTTGGAGGGATTGACTTGTAAAAGAAGGGAATGATGTAGTTATCTCCCGATCTCCCGGAATATATTGATTGTACTTCGTATCTGTCTATCAGGGAACATAGCAAGGTGGATGATAAGTGATGAGGATAGATAGCATAGCTCGGATGGGGTGGAAGAGACCCTGCCGGGACCTGCAGGAACTTAGCTTAGCCGGTAGACTTGGTGCTGCCTTGGTGCCCAGGGCGTACCCTCCATGTCCCCTGCTCAGGCTGTAGTCTACTCACGCCGTCTTTGCTTGGGAGGTAACTCTAAACCGGCGCTTAACTTGGCTTTTGAGTCTGTTGCACCAATTGAAAAGTTATGAATATATATTAACTTTTGGTTATCTAATGGCCATCAACAATTTACATAAATTAGTTCAAAGTTAGTGATTGATTAATTACTTTACTGTGCACGTAGTTACTGAGGGAGGGAACTTACAGTCAGCAGCCGTTGGTATTATTGGCAAGCTGGCCGCAATCAGGACAGGTTACATGTACCTGAGTCTGGGGGCTTGCGGCACCTATACTCCGTAGTTACTACATAATAATACATTTTCCCAACAAGCAAAAAAATGAAAAGGAAAATGCCTCGGGGAATTGACGCATTCAATGACACCTGCCTCCCCAGCCCGTCATTTTAGAATTGCAACAAATCTCGTCATTAAAATGCCAAATGACAGTATCATTATTGACAAAGCAGTAATGGAATTGAGACGACCTGGCAACAATGGCAGGGGATGACTCAAAAGGGAGAGAGAGACAGCGGAAAAGTGGAGGAATGTTCTGGGCTGCTGAGGTGATTGATAGGCAGCCAGGAGAATAACGCCTTCGTAATCCATGACTGGAACGCTACTGAAACATTACTTGGAGCCATTTAACGGCTTCTCGGAGGCAGTGATTCCCGTGCTCAACTATCCATAGATAGTAATAACCGTAAATAACTGGGAAATTTTATTATTGTTGTAATTATTCTATTATGCTTATTACTACTAACATGGTTATTGGATTATTGATTGACTCTGGTGCCTTTTGGTAACTGGATAACCAGAATTTGAGAGAGAGAGGGGAAAGACTCAGGACTTGAGTTGAGTCAACCAGACAGAGTTGGTACCGCAAAAAGGGTCGGCTCTTCCATGACGCTGCGGGTTATGGAGAACCTTCCAGGACAGGCAATGCTGAATCACCGCCGCGCGGATTCCTCTGGCGACGGATGGAGAGGGAAAAGGAAAGGGAAAACAGTCATTCAGGGGGGCGCAGAAAGAGGGAGTGGAGTCGAATGGCCGGATGCGGCCTCTTTTTCTCGACCTGCCGCCAGTCAAGTGGGTCGGCCGGAAGATCGCACGTACAGTATTGTTACCACTTGACCACGAGGGAAATGGGGGTTGCCGGGTACCATCCTCGCAGGCACTTGGCCCGATTGGGGAGTCTGGAGTATGCATGAGTATGCATGATTACCGTAATAAACACCCGTCATTGGCCAGCAGGCCACCCACCCTGGAACCAAGGCGACGTAGGAGGTTCTCGCTCGTTCGCCCACTTTCTCGCCATCGCTGCAGGTTGAGTGGGCTTGTTTCCCTTTCCCTCCCCCAAGGTTCCGAGAGTCGCCCCCCTCCGACTAGCCGTGCCTAGGAAATACTAGGAATATGGAAGGGCATAGAGTCCAGTCGTCACCCTCCCTCCGTTTCCACCCTCCTCCCCCCCCGTACTTTTACGAATTACCGTACCTACCTAAACCCCATCTGATCCCAACTGCTATCATCCGGAACCTCCTTATCCCTATCGCTCGCTCTCTCTCCTCTTGCTCATCCATCCTCTCCACCTCACCTTCCTACTCACACCTACACTCTCACCTTCCTCTTCACTTCCTCTCCATCTTCTTCTCCTCCTTTCTCTCTCCTACTCTTCTCTTCCTCTCTTCCTTCCTATCCTTATCCTTCTTCATCTCTTCGTTCCCGCGCTCCCAGCTACCAATCCATTGCTCCTTCTACATCCGCGCTTCCCCAATCAGCCTTCTCAACCCAACCCATCAACTATCGCCACCCCATCATCTTCCTCTTCGCCTCACCACCTCTATCGCGACACGATACAGTACTGCTTGCAATCCTCTGATTAGGTCACATTGCCAAAGACTTCCCCACTAGATCTACTTCAGAACAGAGTACTTGTCCTGTCCTCTACGGTCTAATCTGCCTCGCCGCTGTCTTCCTGCCTGGCCTTCCGAACACCCTGCGTGACTCATCTCAAAGCCAACCACGTCGAGAGTTCCTCGGACCCACGAGTCCCTCCCTCAATCCAACCGTCTCAAAGCCGCGTGCTACGTTTCAATTGCAGAGATACGTGTTGAGGGTTCTGCGTCTGCTGTGAGGTCGACTTCTGCTTAGTTGTCCATCCGTTCGCCGCGCAACCTGGGCCGGGTGCTGGTATTCGGTTCTTCACCTCGTTCTCCTACGGGCCTGAAGATCCATCATACCAGTTGTCCAGAGCCCCGCTATACCTCCTATATAGTTCCTCTCTCTCTCAAATCTCCGGACTATATATCATCGGGCGACTTATGACCTTATAGCCGTCGGTCCCGTCCTCGATCACTTCCCCTCCCCCCTGAGTCACGACCCCTCTCCGGCCCTTCAGCCTGGTGTTCGAAGGCCTTTTTCAGTTACGAGCCTTGTTTGTTTATACATTTGGTGTTCAAGTCACGATATTACGCAGCGTTATTCTCCCTTGGTCCTTCTATTTGGTGTCCCATTGCCGGACATAGTCATTCACTTCGACACATTCTTTCTCTCGACATATTTCCGTTCCTCGGGCTTCGCGCCTCTACACTTGTGAAACGATATACAGATGCACTCATAACAGTCTTTACTATTTCCTAGCCGTCGTCAATCACCCTTCTCCTAAGGGTATCTGCACTGCGCTTCGCGCCTACTCGTCGTCATCATTTTCTTTTCGTTTGTCACCATATCCTCTCTTCCCGGTATTTATATGAAACTGTGACTCAACAAGCCGGTTGTTTTCTTGTCTTCTTTCTACTCTATTCGCCTTCATCTTTCTACTTCTATTCTCGGTGGTCGAGATCTGCTTGGCATTTGACCATCTTGGTTGTCTGGTTGTTTGAAATCACACTTGCATCCGTCTTGCGATAACCTCCATCGACGTTATAAACCACTGGAACGAACATCTCTGGGAGAACATCGTCTAGTCCGAGTATATATCAGATATGGAGTGCCTAAAGAACAGCTTTGTGGAGGGTCAGCTCCTTGATGGGCGCTTCCGAACAGTCGCCCCTCTGAACCACGGTTCGTTTGGCATGGTCTTCCTTGCTATCGACACCAAGACCGGCCAGGACGTTGCTATCAAGTGCCTGACCAAGGGTGGTGCCTCGCCGTACGATGCTCGTTTCGAAGAGCTCGACTGCCACCGACGCCTTGCTCACCACCCCAACATCGTCAACCTCATCCATTCGTTTGAGACAGATGCTCACATGTACATCGTTTTGGAGTACTGTTCCAACGGCGATCTGTATGAGGCTATCAGGCTCAACCGTGGCCCCTTGGAGACGGAGCACGTGCGTGATTTCATGTTGCAGCTGGTCAGCGCTGTCGAGTTCATGCACGCCAATGGCATGTACCATCGTGATATCAAGCCAGAGAACATCTTCTTGATGCAGGATGGATCCATGAAGCTGGGTGACTTGGGTCTGGCGACCCGGGATACCTGGAGTCATGAGGCATGTGTTGGAAGTGACCGCTACATGGCTCCGGAGCAGTATGACCCTTCGACCACTGGCTACTCTCCCGCCAAGGCCGACATCTGGGCGATTGGTATTTGCTTGCTGAACGTTCTCTTCGCGCGGAACCCATTCGCTACCCCGACCGAATCCGATATCCTTTTCGCGGACTATGTCCGCGACCGCCAATCACTCTTCGACATCTTCCCCAACATGTCCCAGGATACCTTTGAGATCCTGAGATTTGCTTTGGCTATCGACCCCGAGAAGCGCTCCCTTTCTGGTATTCGTGATTCCATCATGCGGACTGTTTCCTTCACTACCGATGACGAAGCATTGGATGAGTTCTGCACCGATGACCGCGAGGTCGTTCCCGCAAGTGCCAACCGCGAGCCGCTCCGGACGCCTTCCATCCAGAGCCCGCACATCAACCAGGGCGATTCGTTCCCATGGGCCAAAGCCCTCCAGGCCAGCCCCCCTCAGCAGATCCGGCAGCTGTCGGCTATTCCCGACAACGAGAGTTACTCGGAGGATCTCTTCCCTCCTTCGGAGACTGCTGGCACATCGTGGTTCTCCGTTCACCAGGGCACTCCCTCCATGGCATCTGTTCTGGAGTCTGCTCTTGGCGATTCGTTCCGGCCATCTGCTTTCCGCAAGGGTGAGCTGCGTTTCCCTCCACAATCGGACCCGGTGCCCATCACCGGATCTCTTCCCAGTCATACGACCAAGCCTTTGCCTTCTCTTTCCATGGTCTTTGGTAAGAAGAAGGACGAGCAGATCTCCAAGAGCTGGAGTGATCTGTGGGACGAGGAGGAGGAGTCCGAGACCGAAGACCTGGCTTTCCAGCAGCGGCGCGAGCAGAACTCCCGTAGCTGGAGCCACGAAAGCACCAGCCCTGTCGAGGCTAACGTTCCTGAGCTTTGTGGCCCGCTGACAGGCCTTCGGGATTCTGTGACTCCTTCTATGCTTAACGTTCGCGCTCAGAAATCCAAGCCTTCGGTGTCATCCGAGGAGACCTCTGGGAAGTGTTGGAATATTCCCATGGCCCCCACTGGCCTCAAGACTCCCCCTCGCACTCCGGACAGCCCCCCGAAGAACTCCAACACGGACAAGTGGGCTGCCCTGGGTGACCGGAGGAGGAACTACAAGTCTCCCGAGGCTTCACTCGGACGCAAGAAGTTCCCTCTCAACATGAGTTGGAGGAAGGACTGGGGCTTGGGATCTTCTGGCTTCGACTACGGCTCTTGGGCTGCCAAGAAAGAGGCTTCTTCCTTCCAGGATCGCCGCCGACGCCCCTTCCAGGAGAAGGGACGGCGTCGCGATGCCTGGGAGTCACCAAAGTCTGCCAACGTGAAGGTTCCCCATGACTACGATGGCAGTATCGATGAGGATCTCGACCTTGTTGGTGGCTGGCATGACCTCCATCTTTAAGAACCATGTCTCCTGCCTTCGTTCCCGCTCTGCTCTAATCCGATTCCTGTTCGTTGTACCGACCAAATTACCCTGACAAGAGTGGCAAATTCCAAACAACTTTATCTACCGACAACCAAACTTCTCCGGCTTGTTTTCTTCTTTTTTACTTTTTGATTGATCTTTGAAGCGTGTCTCTCCACTCGGCTTAGATGCACCCGCGTCGGGTGCATCCGGCAGCCTTATATTCAATATTTTATTTTCCCCTCTTCTTCTCTACCGTTACGATAGAATGTTTGTATTCGGCAAGCCTCTCACGTCGGAGGTGCTAGTGTTTTGATTCCTATCCTGTATAATATAGCACTCTTCGAAGGAGCAAGCATGGGGATGGGCGGTCGAAAAGTGACTCATCTGCTGGATTTGGGAGGGATTGTTTTGCGGAGGATGTGATTTTTGTTTCTCTTCTCTTTCCCCTTTCCATTCTTTGCACAATGTCAACCTTTCAACTTTTCTTACCCAAAAAGAAAATGGTTCAACTTGACGGGGGCCTGGACGACGAGGCAGGCGGAGGACGATGGTAGGTGGCTTGGAGGCCACCAGGGATCTACGAAAGATAACAATGAAAAAAAAGAAAGTCATGGAAAAGCAAGACTACTATGACCATTCATCCACATCTTGAGGCGACTGTGCCGACCAGGCGCAGGACTGGTTTCTTTGTACTGTAACTAGCTGGTATGGTGAGAGTGATACGAGGATACTGGGGATAGCCCGAGGAATCTACTATGATTCGATGTGGATAACTGCCTTGCCTGCGTAGTGTAGACTGAGTAAACCGGATATCTCCATAGTAGTCATCGTCAGGTCAATGTAGATTGCCAGCTGTTCTGGTGTGACTCACGGCCTCTACACCGTAGGTTTGTCCCCGTCACCTCCTAGTATAGTCTAGTAAGTAAGTAGTTAGCAGCAAATGATGCCACTATCTTTAGTGCCAGTGGCGGGAGAGAAGGCGGTGGCAGGTCTCCGTTCCAGACCGCCGCGGGAAAGAATGGAGAAAGACACACTCCCTCAACTAATCTATCTTCGCGCGACAACGCCATCTCACACCCGGTGAGCAAAGAGGCGGTATTTCTGGCGCGTGGCCTCTTGCGCGACTTGTATCACCTACTTTTCCGACCTCCTTTGCTTTCCCGGAGGTTGTTGTTCCTACCTTTCATTCATTCATCCTCGGATCTTCTTCTGATCCGTGTGATTACGATCCCCTGAAAGGGTCGCGCCGACTACTGATAAGGAGCGAACTAACTTTACTACTACTGTCTTCGCTTTCTTTCCCTCCCTCTTCTCCAGTCTATAATAGCTACATACACACATCAGTCCCTACAGTACATAGCGCAATGAATCTTGCCCGAAATACATCATAATAATCACACCGACCTCCTATTCTATCTTACGTGCTACTTGTTCGGAAGACAGACAGACAGAAAGAAAGAAAGGTCGCATTGCGACACAGTCCCGGTCAAAAATGACCACCAGCTGGACCGCCACACAATGGATTCCCTGGATGACTCTAATCTCCACCTGGATTGACGGCACAACCGCAGACCCCAGTCAGACGATATGTCCCGCGCCGAGTTGGCAAGTTGCCGAAGCCGAGTTCATCCAGTGGCCTCAGTGTCCGGAGACGCGATGGGAAGCGGACCCGGCTACTTCTCTCTCCGCGGCACAACAACAACCGTTGCTGAAAGCACCTGAGGAGACGCTCTCCGTTGTGTCCGTTTCCATGGCTGCTTCTTCGGAGAGCAGCGCACGGCCCGACCATGAGCTCGATACCGAGTCGCCGCTCGATAATGCGAATTTCCTGTCGTTCGAGGATTGGAAAAAGCAGAATTTGGCCAAGGTTGGCCAGTCTGCGGAGAATGTGGGCGCGCGCGGCGCTGCTGCTGCTGCTGCTGCTGGGAAGGAAGGGAGACGGCGTCCGACGGGGATTAATAATGCGTTGGATTCGCTGGGTGAGGATGTTGAGATTGAGTTGGACTTTGGTGGCTTTGGGGCTGATACGCCGGAGGCGGCGAAGCCGACGTCTTGGGGGGCGCGTGTGTCGACTGGGGGTACCACTGAGGAGAGGGGTTCTGTTGGGGATGTGGATTCCCTCGCGCAGGGTGTGCCGCCGGCTGGGGGTGTTTCGAGATCGAAGGATGCGGGGACGACGTGCAAAGAAAGGTTCAATTATGCGTCGTTTGATTGCGCTGCGACGGTGCTGAAAACGAATCCGGAGTGTACGGGGTCGTCGTCGGTGTTGATTGAGAACAAGGATAGCTATATGCTCAATGAGTGTCGGGCTAACAACAAGTTCTTGATTTTGGAGCTGTGTGATGACATTCTGGTTGATACGGTGGTGTTGGCCAACTATGAGTTTTTCAGCTCCATCTTCCACACCTTTCGCGTCAGTGTGTCGGATCGGTATCCGGCGAAATTGGACCAGTGGCGCGAGCTGGGGATCTACGAGGCGAGGAATACGCGCGAGGTTCAGGCGTTTGCGGTGGAGAATCCGCTCATCTGGGCGCGGTATGTTAAGATCGAGTTTCTCACGCATTATGGGAATGAGTTCTTTTGTCCGCTTAGTTTGATTCGCGTGCATGGGACGACTATGTTGGAGGAGTATAAGCATGATGGGGAGGTTAGTCGGACAGACGATGTGGTGGCTGATGAAGAGCCCGAGCCTGCACCGGCGGCTGCTGAAATAGAGACGATTCCTACGGTGGATGTTGCACCTGCAGCAGGCACGGCAGAGCAGAAGGTGGACGAGCAGACGCCGGAGACTTGCCCTAACCCCGGACCGGTCGTTGATGAGACAGTTATGATGCAGCTTCTGGGGGTGCTTGAGACATGTAGTATTCATGACTCGCCAGCTGCTGGGGTTGAAGGGACTCAGACGTCTCTCAATCGCCCGTCAGCTACTGACGCTGCACCTCCCAAGGGCGACGATGCTGCGTCTGTTGGTAACGATGCTCCAGCCAAGGAGGCAGGGGAGCAGAAAGTGACTGTTAGCCCGAATGTTGACTCGGCACCTTCGTCTGCTACAACGGCTGGTCCAGAAACTACATCACAGGGTGAAGCCGATAGCCGGTCTACTGGCTTCACCAAGGAAGAGCAAAGCGTAGCCGCGGAGACAACGCGGTCAACAGCAACGCAGCCTCCTTCTGCGAACCCAACTACGCAAGAGTCATTCTTCAAGTCCGTGAATAAGCGACTACAAATGCTGGAATCCAACTCCAGTCTTTCACTACTGTACATCGAAGAGCAGTCGCGGATCTTGCGCGACGCATTCAACAAGGTTGAGAAACGACAGCTGGCCAAGACCTCGACGTTCCTGGAGCAACTGAACGTGACGGTGCTTCATGAATTAAAGCAATTCCGCGAGCAGTACGACAACGTGTGGAAGAGCGTAGCACTCGAATTTGAGCACCAGCGCATCCAGTACCATCAGGAGGTGCATTCGCTGAGCGCGCAGCTGGGCGTCCTCGCTGATGAACTGGTCTTCCAGAAGCGGGTGGCCGTCATCCAAAGCATCATGATCCTGTTCTGCTTCGGACTGGTACTCTTCTCGCGCGGCGCCGTCAGCAGCTACATTGAGTTGCCAAGCATGCAAAACATGGTGTCGCGGTCGTACAGTCTGCGGTCATCATCACCTCCATTTGGGTCGCCGTCTGTAAGCCCGACGTCGTCGGGACGGCGCGCGGGCGGTCACCGACGCAACCTGTCCGAGGATTCTCAGGAAGATGGGCCGATTAGTCCCACACTGGCCTACTCTCCACCAACACCTGTCTCCGATGTGATGAGCTCGTCGGAGGAGGCAGAGAACCACAGGGGTGACTCGTTGGCACTGCCGGAGGTGGCGCCACCAGTCCGATCGCGCAGTAGTCCGCCTGACCTCAAGGGAGGCGAGGAGTCCATTGAAGAATCATCTAGCTCGGGCGAGTCACCCGTGTCTCATGGACGGAATGCCGCGGTGGCCGAGGCCTAGTGATGATGCGGTCGTGGCATGTGGAGCCCGACATGACAGACGGGTTGCATTCTGGCTGCAGGTTCAGCGCGTTGGCGATGTCTCGGCCGCGTGTTTCCAGGCCAACAGCTGCAGAAGAGCTTATCTGACTGAGTGACGAGAAGGCTGCCATTCCTGGGGAAAGTGTAAATGTGTTGGCCACGGCAGCAGCTGGTGACACCGGATAGAGTGCAGGGGGGATGCAGGGAATATGTATGTTTGTATGTACACATATTGTAGAGGAGTACGGAGTACAGCTACGCGACATGATGAGACGATGTATATACCCATACCATTTACAGTGATTATTGAATGGACAAATAATTGTTACAAATGATGTACTTAACTACTTACTCCATAAGTGAATAGACAATGAATGACATCTTCGGGTGGTGGTAATGGAGGTGGTTGCCATGACAACAATCGACGGGTTTTTCTTGCCTTCGATTCTTATCCTCTTCCCTCCCACTGCCTTCCACTGACTCTTCCTCCACATCTCTGCTACTACAAGACTACTTGTTCCTCATCTCAAGAACCAGATACCTCTCTCATCAGAAAGATATTCTGAAATCAAAAAGAAACAATCAAAATGGAATCCCACCCCCTCACCGACCGCACCAACACCCACCTCGCTCAAGACACGGAGAAGTTGAACGAGCTCAAGGCCGCCCCCGCCAAGATCAACTCGATGGAATATCATCGTCAGGTGTTGCAGGGCAAGCTGGAGAATGGCGATAAGTGAGTATCAATCACCAAATATGCATGTGTTTACGGATGTTGACTGTCGTAAAGGAACCAAGCAAGCTACGTCTCTCCCTCGGATGATATCATGAGTCCGTGCTCGAAGAAGTTGAGTGATTTGAAGGGCAAGCGGTTCAAGAAGTATGCTCCCTACTTCCTATAGATTACAGATTGAAGATGATACTAACCAACTGTGTGTAGTGCCGGCAAACCCCAGTCCCTCTTCGCCAAGCTCGGCAAGAAGAATTTCGAACAGCAGTCGTCGGCCCAGAAAGAAAACACCGAGGCATGATTTATCAGATCGTCTCCGGGTAAAAAGGGATACATCTGTCGGTGCCTGCGCCGGTCGCAATACTCCGATTGCATGATGATCCAGTAACCGGGGTGATTCATTGCTTCTGTTGTTTTTCTTAATCTGCATTGGTTTGCTCTGGGTCGGTTGTGGTGTTTGTTGGTTCGGTTTGGATTGATTGGGTTTATGAGAAAATCAAGGCTCGATATGGGATTCGGCCACGCTTTATGCTTTATTTCTCCTTCTTACGCTTTACTTCTTACTGCTTTATTGTCACATCAATCAATCAATCAATCAATCGGTTGATTGATAATTCTTTCATATTGATAACTATGGATGGTTAATGAATGCAATGCGTGAATATGCTGCTGCTGACTCATCGGCCGATCAGCCGAGGTTCGGTCGGCTGCTTCTCCGCAACCTCAGTTCTCCGCATTACTTGCTTCAGCTTATAATCCCATCCTCCCTATTTCACTTCCATTCCTTTTTCTTCCTATTATATCTTATCATCCTACTTCCAATCAATCAATCAATTCTAGTATCCACAAAAGTAGTAATCCATCATGTCCGCCTCCACCCGCATCCCCGTCATCGCCCAACCCTTCGTCAGCGACCGGGCCAAGCGTACCCTCGACCAGGTAGGTACCTACCTATACTCCCTATACCTCCCTTCCCACAGCTACATCCCCCCACCACCACCCCCCAACAAAACAACTAATAAAGTAATAGGTCGAACAATTCGTCGAAAAAGAATGCATCCCCTCGGAACCCATCTTCCGCGCGCAACTCGGCACCGGCGCCCAGCGCTGGTCGACCTACCCAGCGATCATGGAAACGCTGAAACAGAAGGCGCGCGAACAAGGCCTCTGGAACATGTTCCTACCCAAGAACCACTTCTCGCAGGGAGCTGGGTTCAGTAACCTCGAGTACGGGCTGATGGCAGAGTACCTGGGCAAGAGCACAATTGCGTCGGAGGCGACGAACAACGCCGCCCCGGACACGGGTAACATGGAAGTGTTGGCCAAGTATGGTAACGCGCAGCAGAAGAAGGAGTGGTTGGAGCCTCTCCTTGAGGGGAAGATCCGGTCTGCGTTCCTCATGACGGAGCCGGAGGTCGCTAGTAGTGATGCTACTAATATTCAGTTGGAGATTAGGAGGGAGGGGGATGAGTGGGTTTTGAATGGTTCTGTATGTTTCTCTTCTACTTTATATATGTATACTGGAGAAAGGGTATATATGCTAACGCTGGTATTACAGAAATGGTGGTCCTCTGGCGCAGGCGACCCGCGATGCGCCGTCTACCTCGTAATGGGCAAGACGGACCCTTCGAACCCAGACCCGTACAAACAACAATCCGTGATTCTGGTGCCGGCGCACAACACCCCAGGGATCACAGTGCACCGGATGCTAACCGTGTACGGGTACGACGATGCCCCGCACGGGCACGGGCATATCACATTCAAGAACGTGCGGGTGCCGGCGTCCAACATCGTTCTGGGCGAAGGCCGCGGCTTCGAAATCATCCAGGGTCGACTCGGCCCGGGACGTATCCACCACGCGATGCGGACGATCGGGGCGGCCGAGAAGGCCCTGGAGTGGATGATTGCGCGGATCAACGACGAGCGGAAGATGCCGTTCGGGCAGAATCTGTCTTCGCATGGGGTGATTCTGGAGTGGGTTGCTAAGTCGCGGATTGAGATTGATGCGGCGCGGTTGATTGTGTTGAATGCGGCGATTAAGATTGACCAGGGGGATGCGAAGAGCGCGTTGAAGGAGATTGCTCAGGCTAAGGTCATGGTTCCGACGATGGCGTGTGGGGTTATTGATCGTGCGGTGCAGGCGTATGGCGCTATGGGCGTTTGTCAGGATACGCCGTTGGCGTATATGTGGGCGTGGGTGAGGACGTTGAGGATTGCGGATGGGCCGGATGAGGTGCATTTGTTGCAGATGGGGAGGAGGGAGAATAAGAGTAGGAAGGAGGAGGTCAGGAGGAAGTTGAAGTGGCAGGCTGAGGAGGCGGAGAGGTTGTTGGGGGTTAGTGTTGCTGCGGGGGGGAAGAGTCGGTTGTGAGAGGTTGTTGAGTATAGTATTTGGGTGGTTTATTGTTGGTTGGTATAGGATGATTAGTATTGTTTGAAGATTTGCATGCAAAGTCTCATGAATCATATTCATCATGCACCGTCCTGATGATAGGACTGCTCTAAATAACATCAATGGATATAACGAAACGTCATCATCTCCCTTCTTCCCTCCATCCCTCACTGTCCACGTACTACTAATGTTTAAGTACGCCATGCCTAATCCCATAGTCATCGTGTAATGAAACCTAACTTTTCCCATCCAAACCTTATCTAACGAACAAAAAAAGAAAACCTGGATATAGACTCGCCCGCGAGCAGCTGCTAATAATCCTCGTCCATCGCGTTCTTGCGCACCTTCTTAGCCCGCCGCTTATTCGCCTTGAAATGCTTCTTTGACGAACCGCTCTTCACCTCCGAGACGTCCACTCCCCGCTCCAGAGCGACCATCATGCGCTCCTTACGACCTGTCAAATGCTTGCGCATTTCCTGGCCTTGATCCGTGTACTGGGCATTGAAAGGAAGGGTGAGACGGCCCGTAGAGCCCTTGGAACCCGGGCCGAAGAAGCCCGTGTCGAGGTTGCGGGACCGCGCACCCTTCTCAACCGGCTTGATCAAGGCGAGCAGCTCCGGGTCCGTGACTTCCTCGTTCTGGAGCAGTTTGGCGAGTTGGGCTTGTCGCCGGGCCGGCAGGTGGGCCATGTCGTAGAGGTCTTTGTTGAATTCAATGGGGTCGATGGGGTCGTTGCCTTCGGGCACAGGCGGCGGGTGGCAGAAGAGGAGCTTGCCGTTGACGTAGTCCTTGAGGATGTAGCGGGCGGCGCGAGACTCGTCGGGCTGACCCTGACCAGTGGTGGCGAAACCGCGGGCGCGGGCGTAGGCGCGGAGAAGTTCGTGGGACGTGGGGATACCGGTTCCTCCTTCTTCGATAGGGCGGGTGTTGATCTTCACGCCATAGACGTTCTCGACAAAGTGCTTAGGAATGCGCTGGGCGACGAGGGCAGCGGGGCCGGTGAACTCGCGCTGCTGGTCGATGGGGAGGACACCGTTGACGACGAGCTCGGCCTTGGTGGTGGCGAAGTTGGGGAACACGAGACCGGGACAATCGCAGAGCATAATCTCGGGAGACAGGTAGAGTGTCTGGAAGTGCTTGGTCTTACCGGGGGTGGCGGAAACGGAGACCTTCTTGGCACCGAGCAGTGCGTTGATAGTGCTGGATTTACCGACGTTGGGGTATCCGACCAGACCGATGGTCGTCTTTTTCTTGACTTGGCCCTCGGGCGTGTCGTTGTCGGGCAGAGTGTCAGGGGTGTTCGAGAGGAAGAGCTCTTCGAGTTCTTCGACGTTGAGAATCTCTGTGCGTCGGGAAGAGCTGGAGCTGGCGCTGGGGTTGAGTTCAAGACCACCGTCGTGCTCTTCCTGAGGTTCTTCGCCGTCCTTAATGTCCAGAGACTTGGCACCCTCAGCCAACTGCTCCTCCTCGGGAATGTCCTCTTCGCTTTCGTCCTCCGAGTCGAGGTCCTGCTGGAGGCGCTCGTTGCGCTCCTTGGCCAGATGGGCGGAGAAGAAACGGAAGCTGATGTTCTGGCGCTCAAAGTGGTCAGCCCACATGGCACGCTGGGCCTCAGTCAACATATCGGCCTTGTTGACAAGCAGCAAATTCTGCTTCTTAGGATCGATCTCCTTGACGTAGCATTCCAAATCCTCGGAGCGGTAGAGCAGCGGGTTACGGGCGTCGACAATCTGTACCACCAAGTCGGAACGTTCGATGACACGCCACAGCTGGCGCCAGACCTCCAAGTTGCGCTCGAAAGGAGTCATCAACAGATCCTGGTTCTCCTGCAACTCGGCCAGTCCACGACGCCAGTTCAGGAAACTCTCGCGCTCCATCAACTCCAGTTGCTGGCGGGTGGTGGACTGGTCCCACTTGGGCCGACGGGGAACGGTCAAACGGTTCTTGTTCTGCTTGTGCTTCTTCACGGCGGACTTCTCTTCGGCAGCGGACAGCAGGTAGGGGTTCTTCTGGTCGGTGTGGATGATCTTGACGTTGTTCATCTTCTCGGCGGTGAAATCGGTGCCGGCCAGTTCGGCGGTACTGAGGAACTCATCGAGGGCGGCCTGCTCGGTGATACTGCGCATCTTCACCCAAGCGGCTTCGGTGGGAGCGTTGGTGATGTAGGTCTCGCCCTTTTCGTTCTTGCGGGCAATACCGGCATTGTGCGAGGCCTTTTTCAAATTGGAGGCCTTGCCTTTGCCGAAACGGTCGTTCATCAGGCTGTTGCCCAGCCCGACGGAGTTTTTGGATTTAGCAAGCACCATGGTGACGGTTGTCTCTGTACCTGGGGATGACTGAGAGGGAGAGACACCAGGGATGGTGGAAGTTGAAGAAGAGAAGAAGTGAAAGAAGATTATTAAGAAAGGTTTGATAAAAACCCAATCGGGCAATTTTCGTCGAACCCCGCGCGGATAAGATAAGGCTGACTCAGCACTTTCTGTGTTCGTCCAAGAGACTGCACGATTTGTTTTGGATAGAAAGTAGGTGGGATCTAGATATAGAAGAATGCAATTATTATTGAAATCACTCTAGATGCACTAAAACACAACAGCAGCAGCAGTGGTGGTGGTGAGGACCCTTCGCGATAAGCGGCACGTGACCATCCCACGACCGCGATTTTTCTGCCGAAATTCAGTCCAACATTTAATCTTCATCTTTGAGCTTCATTCTCACCATCACAACTATATCCCCTCCCTCCTCTCTTTTCCCCTGAGTATCTCTCCCGGATCACCGGCTACCGCCCAGAATGCCTCCCCGGAAGCAGTGGATGTACGTTGTCCCTCCATACCCCCCATACACCCAATTTATGTACCCAACTAACCCACCCAACCCACAGCGACAAGAAACAAGCAACTACCTACCAACTCTTCCACCGTTCCCAACATGACCCTCTCATTCACGACCCCTCCGCTGATGACCGCGTTCTGCACCCCGTCTACGGTCCCCCCAAAAACGCCCCAAGTGAATCTTCCTCCGCCTCCAAGCACCGCGGCCAAAGTCTCGCCGATCTAAACCAAACCTTTGGGACAGCCGCGCGCAAAAACGAAGGTGAAGCCGCCAACTACGGCATTTACTACGACGACTCGCAATATGACTACATGCAGCACTTGCGCGAGCTGGGCACCGGCGCCGGCGACGCCTACTTCGTCGAAGCCAAGACGAAGGGCAAGGACAAAGGCAAAGGACTGAAGTTGGAGGATGCTTTGAAACAGGTCTCGCTGGACGACGGACGGAGCGAGTTCGGTGGAACCGAAAGCATGTACAGCTACGACATGCGCTCGACGGCCTCTTCCTACGTGCGCAAACCCACCTACCAGGACCAGCAGAACGTGCCCGATGCCATTGCGGGATTCCAGCCGGACATGGACCCGCGGTTGCGCGAGGCCTTGGAGGCGCTCGAGGACGAGGAGTTCGTGGACGAGGACGACGAGGAGGATGTCTTCGGTCAGTTGACTACGCGGGCAGAGGAAATGGACCCGGGTGATTGGGAAGATACTCTCTTCGACGACGTCGAAGAAGAAGACGATGGATGGGAGTCTGATGCGACAGAAAAAGCCCCCGTGCAGATGGACACCACAGCTGCGAAGGCCCGCTACCAAGACTCTGAGCATGAGGACCAGCCCGGCGAGCTTCCCGAACACAACGAGCCCGCCCCCGACATGCACCCCGAAGACCAAGGCTGGATGCGCGAATTCGCCAAGTTCAAGAAAGACGCCAAGTCCGGCAAAGCAGCCCCCGCCGCTCCTCCCAGCGTCGTCCCCTCCCAGCAGGGCAGCACCCTCGCCTCGACCGTCTTCACAGTCGGAGGAACTCCCATCCGCCGCAAGAAGCGCAAGGGCGCCCTCACTAACCCCTCCGCCTACTCCATGACTTCCTCCGCCCTTGCCCGTACAGAGGGCCACCGTCTCCTCGACGACCGCTTCGAGCGCGTCGAAGCCCTCTACTCCCTCGACGAGGAGGACGAGTTCGACGACAACATGTCCATGGTCAGTGGAATGACCGGCATGACCGGTATGAGTGCCGTGTCGGGCATTTCGACTGCCTCGTCCCAGGCACCGAGTCTCGTTGATGCGAACGGCGAGGCGGTCCGTCCTTCCCACAACTTCAACAACATCATGGATGACTTCCTCGCCGGGTGGGACGACAAGACGAGTGCCCAGGCTAAGCGGAAGGGCGCCAAGGCGAAGCGCGGAAAGAACGGTAACGAGGCGATTGGTATTCGCATGCTGGATGAGGTTCGGCAAGGATTGGGCCCTGCTAGGGTTCCTGGGAAGGTGTCGGGAAGGGCGTAGTGGATTCCTGAGTGAGTGGAATTTGAGTGATGGGTATGCTTGAATGATTGCAACGATACCAATTTATCTATCATTTGGTGGGAATAAAAATGCGGGATTGGCGTTAGGGTGTGTATGTGTGCGTGAGATGATTGCATTTCTTGCCTGGTGATAGACTATCTAGCACTTTTCTTTCATATAAAAGTTTTGGGTTCATATACACCATAGCTTTACTGGACAACCAACAAAGATCAGTATCCCCAGTCAGCTTACTATTTCTTCGCAAATGGGAAGGAACTCGAAACATTCGCGCAAGTATACCCCAAGAATTCTTGCATAGTACCCAAAAGATGATCTGCTTCTAGAGCAGAAGAGTAGACAATGGCCGTACAGGGTTCCAACTTGTTTTATGCGCCGCTCCGACTAAGCTCTACGGCCTCTCTCCGAAAACAAAAACAACTCCACTCACATCTCCGAGAGCCCTAACGAAGGGATAAGTTCACAGGCATAAGGATCATTGCGCGAATCATACCAAGTCAGAACAAGACCGCATTATCTTTATATCTTTATTATACTGGCCATGCCTTCATCCGAGACTCCGCAGCATAGGGAAATTCGGCATGCGCTCCGTCAAATCCGCAATGATATCGAGAGCCTTGACGCTCATCAACTTGATTCCAGCCTTCTGAAGAAATATAAAATATGCATGTCACCAATGGAGCTGGATGAAAGCTCCAATGATAGACCAATCTTCTTCAGACCATGCGATGCCTCTTTACTCCTCAACCCCGACGATCAATATGACGAAGGAAGATCGGAATATACTGACTACGATTCATGGGACCCAGAACTTAGACTCCACATTGACTGTGCTCGCAGCGTACTCGACTATATTTCCTACTATGTTTTTGCGAGTTCCCTTGGCAGCAAAGATTTCATTCTTAGGAAAACCTGGTCTGGTGTCAGGTAAACTTGGCCTCTTCCTCCTCTCTTCCCCTCTCCTGCTGTTTCACAGTAGTAGACACCGTCTTTTGACACTTAGGCCAACAGTACCAGCGATGAGCCTTTCAGAGGGCTATGGCGCGATACATATCCTGAATATGGAACTATGAGGGCCGATCAGGTCAAGGATCATTCATCTCCGCATATGAAAGCCATGCTCTATAGCAATTTAGATGGCAACAACAACAGCATCAACGACGAGCTTCTGCAAGGAGAGATCCTCGTTGCCCTCAGATTAGCTCATACTCAGATGAGACGTCGTCGCTTACATGGACATATGACTGTTCCGGTAATTCCAGCTCCCATTTTACGCCCTTCGTCTCCTCTTAAGGCAAGCAAAGCACTAAGTGTGACTGTATTAGGTTCTTCTCTTCTGCTTTATGGGACCCCAACATGCTCGAGTCATTGAAGCATATTTCAATGGTACTTCGTTTGTGATGCGTACAACTCGGCTATTTGATCTTCGCAAGAAGGACGAGGCCTTGATTAAATGTTTCGGGCAGTGGTACCTTGGGGAGCCTACTGGAGATACAAGATATCTTCATAAGGTTTAGTAAAATACCACCTTTGATGAAGATTATGATGGGATGTAATAGATGCTTAGCTACTGGCGCTTTGGATGGAGGGAAAGGAGTTCGGGTTTGGGTTATTTGGACACTTCCGTTCTTTTGTGTGATGGTTTTGAGGCGTAATGGAACTTGCACTTGCATTCCGTGAAGGTTTTCGTCAATCAAGTCATCTCATACAGTTTATCCTTGCGAAGGCTCCTGCGTTTCGGCAAACACTGTAGTTGTGTTTAAGATAGCCGGTTGGTTTCGGTTAGCGATCGTCAACATCATACTAATGAATCTCGATATTGCCTGCTACAAGTCTGAACTTATGATTCTTGTTCTGACACTTGAATTATGATATAGGTTGTAGGATGTAACTTCCATCCCATACTGTACATTCGATACAATTATACACGGGGGTATACTATCTATCTATCTATCTATCTATCAAATACATCACATTACACATAACCAACTCAAAGGTAGTATACTATAACGCCCCACCCACCTTCTCGACGATCCACATCGCCAACCTAACCCTCCAACTCACCCTTCTCTCCGTTCTCCTCAAATCCTCCCGCGAAATGGCCTTCGCATCCTCCTGCAGCCGCTCTGTCTCAGCGCCCAACTTGCGCTTTAGCTCCGCATCACCCGTGACGACGAGCGCCCCAACCTCCAGATCCAGACTGTAGCTGCGCTTCGTGTAGTTACTGCTCCCCACGAAGGTCAGACTGGGGTGTTCCTCTTTGGGGAGGGTGATCCAGAGGCCCTTGGCATGGTAGGTCCAGCCACCGGGCTGCCCGACAGTGCCGCGGCGCCATTCTTTCAGCTGGATGGAGTTGGTGCGCTGGGCGTCGGCGACGCGGTCGAGGAACCGCGCGGACAGGTGCGTGTATGCGGCCGGCAGCATGCCGGAGATACCGGGGGAGCCGTAGAAGCCGTTGGCCCAGGGGGAGGCGGTTAGGACGGTGCCTAGGGTGGTGGAGTCGGTGTGGGAGGTGGAGGTGCTGGCGATGAGGAGGGAGGAGAGGACGGGGTGGATGTTGAAGTAGCCAGCTGTGAAGAGCCAGCGGGCGCCGGAGAAGGCGGGCGAGGTAGACAGGAGACGGAGGATGGTGGTCACGGCGGGGAATTCGGTCGAGGTGTCGTTGGGTTTGAAGAGAGAGGTGAATTGCGCGACGGGGTAGATGTAGGTCTGGTCGGGGGATTTGGGGGGCAGGGTGGACTGGTTCTTTGAGGGCTGGATGAGCGGGTTCAGGACGGTGGATGAGTAGGCGATGAAGTCCTCGGGTTGGTCGAGAGGTGAAGGCGCGCCGTTGGATGCGGGCCAGTTGAGGAGGTAGCCAGCGGCGTTTTGAGAGTCCGGGAGGACTTGGAAGCTGAGACTGCATACTGCATTGTGGATGCCGGCGTAGTAGTCGGTCAGTGCCTTGGAGTGGAAGACGTGATACCGGTCTATGCGGCTCGTGAAGTATTCGCTAGAGAGATTGGCTCTGGGTTGCTGTCAGTGTCTATGTAGTAATCCTGGAGCGTCGCACATACCCTGACAGGATGATCTCCTCGTCAAAGCCGTACAGCTTCATGTGCTGGAGACCCCAGCCCTCGTTGATCCGACGAGGCACCCATTTCTTCTTCAACCCGGTCAGGTTGGGGGTGTGGAACATGCGAATTTCCACTCTATCCGTACCGTATTTCTCAACCAGAGTAGCCAGCAGCGATGCACACGAAGGGTTGGGCGTTTCGCGCGTTCCTCGTAGAGCATCCGTGAGGATGGAGACCTTGAGCTCGGGGTTGGCCCCGAGAGCCTGGTCCAACGTGTCGATCAGGTCATGTTCCGTCTTGCCGATGTATAACGTTGAGAGGTAGATACGCTTGCGAGCCTTTTTGATTTTGTCCTGTAGTTTGGCACATGCTAGGATTAGTCGCAATCCACCACGTTAAAGTCCGAGATATCCCCGTACCTTGAGCGTGTTGTAGAAGTTGGCCGGGGAGTCTAGAATCGTGATCCGCGACGCCGGCACCTCGAAGCACGGCGAAATCCGATCCAACTCGGTCGTGATACTCCCTAACGGCGACGCAACAGAGGACGCAGGTGAGCTGGAACTGGCATGGCAGGTGTTGGCCGAGAATTTGCGCTCGTATAGTAGGACTCTTCGGGCAGCTGGTCTGCGCGCAGCACATCGCAGGGTGTTACCACCAATTCGTCCGAACATGATCCCTCCCTAGTAGCTGAGCGCGTAGTAGCAAAAGACCCACAAGGAATCAAATGTAATTGCCGGAGTGCTATTGGAGAAAGTCGAGAAATATTGAGATCGAAGGACGAGCGGATGCTGCAAACCCGGCAAACAGCGATCCGCGCTAGACCGGATTGGGGCGGCTTCGACCTCCGGGCGGAAAGCGAGCGACGCAAGAGTCGAAGTCGAACCCGACCTGTTCTCAGTTCTTGCCATTGCTGCCCCTTTCGCTGCTCTGCACACAAGATGTCGACCATTCTTCGGACGCTGCGCAATCTGAGACGGATTGGTTTCAAGGTGAGATCTTCTACGGTTCTTCCGGGGGCATCACGGACGAGTTGCTAACTGTATCCCCTCACAGGAATATGGCCACCAAATGCAGGTATGCTGTCGAATGCTGGGAGTGAAGAAGCTTATGAAGGAGTGAAATGGATACTGACGAGACGTGCTATTTGCTGCAATAGTACATTGGTGAGTGGATTGCTGGCAGGTGGTTATAGTAGTTAGACTAACGCCATGCGATTCTAGGTGATACCAAGGCCGGTACCTTGATCGGTGTTGACCGCTACGGCAACAAGTACTTCGAGAACATGGAGGAGGAGCTTCCTCGTGGGTGATGCTATTTCTGGATAAATGATTGTTGCTGACCTGCGCAGTCCGTACCCGCTGGGTCGACTACAAGGAGAAGGAATACGACGCCTCGCAGCTTGAGCCTGGCTGGTGAGCTTCTCGCAATTGATTGCCAGATGCGACGTGCTAACTTTGCTAGGCACGCCTGGATCTCTTACATGGTGGATGCTCCCCCCACTGCCGACAAGATCATGCAGACCGGTGTCCGCAGCTGGGAGCTGCCTGAGCACAGGCCCAACCTGACCCTCAGCCGTGCTGCTTTCAAGACCTACTCTACGTGAGTTTCCTTGTGATCGCCAGTATTAAAAGTCGAAAGCTAACGAGTGCAGTACCCGCCCCAAGTACTCCGCCTGGACTCCCGTTGCGGCACCCCGGTAGATGTCGGTAGAGCGTTGGCCTAGAAATCAGACCATGTTCGAAGATGTGTAAATAAATAAAGATGTCCTACTTCCCGTTTGAACTATCGCGATTGTCACAATTAGTATCCCCATTGACCTGCCAGTTCTATACAGTAGTCCGTAGTCTAATTATGCACATGAGGATATCACCGAGGTATCACAGCAACCAAATGCCAAATCAAATGCCACAAAACAGCTCCCTTGACGATGTAGATACAATAATCAGAGAACGTATATACCAGAGCCGATGTTGGACCAGTGCCGAATGGGGCGTCGGTCTTCGAGCTCGACACACCACCACAGAACATCCCTCAACTTTTGGATCTGACTCTCCGCCTCGTACGCGCGGGAGAGTGCATACCACGCCTCGGAGTTGTCCCACGCACTGCCACGCTTGGTCAACCCGGACAACAGCCCAAAGGCACGTTCGCGGGCCGCGATGCGGTTCAGGAGTCGGGGCTCTTCGTCGTCTGAATCCGGAACGGTCTTAGCCTGCGGCTTTTGCGCTTGACTTGACCGCTTCGCGTCGTCTTCGGAAGATGGTTTGCTAGAATTGCTCGGGAACAGCGACAGCGTCGATACACCGGCATCAAGCCGGGGCTTGGGAGGCTGCAAAGGCATCTTCTCTTCCCAGACGTCGAGGAGTAGATTTGACAAACCAATAGTTGCCTTCGGATGATCCGCATGATGGAGAAGCGCCGTCTCGAAGTGCTCCATCGCTTCATGCGGGCGAGTCTGGTCGATGGACTGGAGACCGCGCTCGGCATAAACGTCTGCCCATAATTCATCAGTGCTCTTGGGGACGCCCCATCCACGCTCCCTAAACGCTCTAGCGGAGGTCTCTTGTGACGCCACAAGAGCTTCGAAGCGCGTTACCTGTTTGGCTGCTTCCTCGCATGCCTCATGAGCATCCTCGAAAGATGATGCCCGGCGATAGAGCCCAGCAATAAGCAGCCAAACCTTGACGAGGATGCACAGGCCATGCTTTTGGGCCTGAGTAGGTGGGACCTTGGTCACCGCCCTGGTGGGAGTGTCGAAGGCGTACGATGTAGGTAGTCGGATATCCTGCTCCGGTGGCTGCTTGGAATGCCCGGCTGGAGCGGGTGGTTGGTTGTGCTTCATATTGTGAGCCATAGGTCCCAATGGCTGCTTTGCGCTCTGGGGCTGGGCCGCTGCGTCCGACACGGCTAGTCCAACCATGTCTGGAACAGGGTTACTAGCGTCAGGCCCAGCCTGAGTCTCGCTATCGCCGTTGACATGGCTTGAGTTAGCAGCATCTGCCTTTCTCAAGGTATTGCTCCTTTTACGGGCCTGACGTGAGTCTGTGCCCTCATTAAGCCCCGACTTCTCCCCATCGGTAACCTGTATTGCCGGGGCCGAATCTGTAAAGGTCGAGTTATCTGTCTTGGGCTCTTGTCCAAATTCTGCCCTCCTTTCAGGAGCGCGGGGTCCCTTGTGGCGACCAAAGATGCTGCCGCGGAGGCTTTTCACGGTCCCAGCAGAGCTTTTCGGGGGAACAAGGTGCTCGTGCTCGTGCTCAGCCTTGGTATTTGGCTTCTCGTTATCTTCCAGGTTCAGAGAGTGGAAAAGTGTGGCGAACAGACTAAGGAGCTGGTCGCTATGGTTGACAGCAGCTCCCGGGCCCTCAACTAGTTCAACAAACGCCAACTGGGTCATCCTGGTCTCGATAATACGCTCCTTCTCGCGGACTCGTAGCTTCTCGATAAGCTCATGAGTGATGCCCGCGATCTGATCTTGAGCAGTGTGATTCTGCTTCTGCGGTCGTCTGTCGCTATGGGCGAGGGACGTCACCGTAGCAGGGAACTGCTCAAATGCGGCTTCACACGAGCGTTCGGCAATGTCGAAGTCCTGCTTCGCGCTGAGAAGGAGAGCAAGCAGATGCCACAGGGGCACCAGATCTCTTTCTCGAGCAAAATCGGCTTGACCTGTTTTGTGCTGTGCATCGGATGTCAACGCCGACTTGACGTAGTCGATGGCACCATCTAGATCACGATTCTCTGCTAGAAGAACAGCCAGGGTATATAGAGAGGAGCAGTTCGACTCGTCTTCAAGCTCCGGGGCCAGGCTTCTCTCCAGGTAGTCAATAGCTTCTGCCCGGATGTCGTCGCGATCCTCATTCACGGGAGTCCAATAAGCCCAGTTAGCAAGCCCGATACCGATTCCTCTGTAAGCTGCAGCGATGTCGGATGGGGGGACTGCCTGGGAGCGGGTTGAGCTAGTTTCAGGCACAACGAGAGTCATGCCTTGGTCTTCATCATCCTGTACATGCTTCTCGGTAAACTCTTTCAGGAGAGATGTGAGATCCTTTGCTTTCTCGGCCTCTTTTTCCGAGCCGAAGCAACTCAGCATCGTAACACCCTCCGACACGGTGCGCAAAAGGATCCCGTCATTTTCCAAGTCTCCCGACTCAGCTCCTTTTGCCGCCCGCTCTTTGGCACTTGTGACGATTTCGATATATGAATCGAGCGCCCTCAGAGCAAGGTCATAGTCCGCGAGTGCACAATGCACATGGAACAGACGCCGCAAAATCAAGTGTGAGTGGTATGTCTTGGTAGCAGCGCGGTAAAGAATCTAAGATTATCAGCAAGTTGCTTTCCATCCTCAGTCCCTCGACTTGGAACTTACATCAAGAACGTTTCTGCCGACAGCATTCTGGCCACCCTCCCCAAGCTCTTCATCTGTCCAACCGGCACCGCAAAGCACCTCCCAGTTCTGAATGACTTGTTCGACCCAAGCCTCAACTTCCGGGTTGCTCGAGTCAGCTGTAGGAAATTTCGTCTCGCGCAGTATGCTAGCTTCACAAAGCCCCTCAACGCGTCGGATTTCACTGGCAAGCTGCGGGCGTTCAGGTCCATTTGCAGGAGGGCAATACGGCAGGCCCTGTTGCAAAATACTTGAGAGCAGATTGTAGTACGATTTCCAGGTCGGTGATTTCGATACAGGCTCGGTAGTGCCGTCCATAAGCATGCCTTGAGGCAAGGTCATTTGCTTGACTGAAGGATGAGATGCCCACAGTCTGAAGAAGCCTAGCGTCGTGGCTATCGTTTGAGCATTAGCAGCGGCAAGGTCTCTGCTGGCTTCCTCGCACGCCAGGGAGGCGCCTTGGCCCAGTAGCTTCTCAGACCAGTAGAGAAATTGGGCGCTGTTTGTAGGGGATTGGAGCTGACTGTTCACCCATGGCGTAAGCGAATGAAGGGTCTCCAGGGCGCCTTCGGGGTCGGAGGTCATGCGTTGTGCAGAACCTATCATAGATTAGCAGATGCACATCCTCAAATCTTCACTGTGGAGCAACCGCACCCTTGAGATAGCACGCCTTGACGAGGCATGTCTTGGTCCATGGCGAGAGCTCTTCCCCTGCCTGTTCGAGCTCACTCACGGCCTCTACAAAGTCTTGAGGAAACCGGGCAGCTGCCAAACCTAGCTCATTGACAGTCCAGTGTACCCATCCCAAGCAGACCTGCGCCTGGAAAACTTCTTGCTTCGATCCTTCTGCCCGGTTGACGGTGGATAGGAGTGACGGAATCAGGTCATGGAGACCGGCGGCGGAGGAAGGGCGGGGGGTGGAGGGATGCTTTTGAAGGTGTGAGGCCAGCTGGTATTCAGCGCTGGCTACTTCGAGGAGACCTGTGGCATCCTCATTAGTCCATCTGGTGGTCGGCCAGTATTTCCGGGGAAAGGCAAGTTGGCATTACATGTTCTCTGCGGAGCATGTTTGGTGACTTTTCGAATCAACTCCGGAACTTCTTCCCATTTATTCTGGCAACGCGCATTGTCCAGGGCCGTAACATAGCGATGCCCCTTATCAGAGTCTCGACCCTGTATGAGTGGTGATCGGTGCCTCGGTCAGCGGAAGGCATGTGGTGGCAGATTGAGGGGGAAGCTTTCACAAGGTAGCCCATTGAGACGTTCCCAGGGGGGAAAGTGAGAAGCCACCACTTACAGTCATGATTGGGAAAGGTCAGACAGAGACGGAGGGATCAGTAATTACAATCGGAGGGAAGAGAAAGAAGCAGCGTCCATAACAGGGACGAATGCCCACTCGAGGCAGCAGAGAAACAAGATAATATGGCTCCGTTGACGGCGGAGACGATCTTAAGGGGAGACCCGCCGTAACGTACGTAATGTCTCGTATTATTGCCCGAGGCTTCATGTGGTCCGAGCGTCAAA